CACACACACACACACACACACACACACACACACACACACACACACACAGCAAGCTACTTGGGCGAATGACGCACGTCCAAATGGTTAGTTATGCCGCCAAATGATCAAGTCCTCACGGTGCTAGCACGCAGTTACCGCATAGACTTATATATATATATATATATATATAGCGCATATTAAGTATTTCGTGCAACCTTTAGTTGTTCATGCGCCTATGCTATATATATTGCGTAAGAAACGGACGCGTTGCCGGTAAATGCCCGCGTCCGGAAATGTAAGTAATCGTACGGGTTTATTTCTATATAGATATAGATATAAATATATTATATAGATAACTCATCCCCGAATAGCCATCATGTAATGGAAGCTCATAGAAACCTTATTCCCAGCCGGGGAAAACATGGTGGACAAACAGGTCTACTGCTTACGTATACTGCTTACGGCGGCCGCGTGCGAAATTTTTTTTCCCACGAGAGTTCCGGACCCCAGCCAATCAGCGCACTCCATTCACTCGACTTCCTCGAAGCAACAATGTAAAATGTGTGCACCCTAAACCTAAACCTAAACCTAACCCTAACCAGAACACTAACACTAACTATAATCCAACCAGGTTTGTCTTATATACGCACCATATATTACAAAACACTATCTGTGGTGGGTCCGGAACTCTCGTGGGGAAAAAATTTCGCCGGCCGCGAACGCCCACAAACGTCACCACAATATTGAAGAGAAATTAATAATGACTTATCCGTCTGCGCTACGATGGGCCATTCCTAAATCGGAGCGAGAATTGTTGTCCTCTGGCTCCTTGCTGCGTCACACTCACCAAGGAAACGCACAGCCAGGGAGAGGGAAAGGCCGGTTAAGGGTCAAAGAAATAAATGAGCTCAAAAGAATGTATGAATACGAAAGAAATGATAAGCGCAGTACGAGCAGAAAGAGGAGGATTCTAAAGCTAATGAGATTTCAATTGTGATTATTCGCCGACGTCCAAACGCGTGGAAGATTAGAATGAGTCGATTCGCCATGATTGTAAATGTTGTACATTACGAAGAATGCATGTATGTATATGCACACCAATAAACTATTTTTACGTGAAAACTGCTACGCCGCATGTGTGATAGAAGATGTATGATTTCTTAATAAAATTCCGAGAAAGCACAGCGAATGTCAATCAAAGGCATTTACCTTACACGCCCACTGCCTGGACCGTATAGTGGCCGTAAACTCTTTCACATTAACTTGTTCGCGAGCCTGGTGAGGTCGGA